TTTAAAAGAGCTTCTTACTAGAAATTGTTCCAATCCAGCCTACTTAAGCAGGGATTGTATTCATGCTTAATTAGGCTTTCCTCTCTTTAATGCTTATAAAATAAAGCCCTTTCAAACTTTTAGTTGATGTGACCTGAAGGTGACCTGGATCTTTATAATGGTTGGCTTTTCAAGCCTGTTGGATTAAACAGACGTACAGCAGAAATCAGTGGAAAAACAGGCTGACTGTCCTGAGCTGGAAATTTAGAGACTAGTTTCTTGGCAAAACAGAATGTGTTTCCCAATATTGGTGACACTCTACATTTTATTTTAAGAATCTCTAAATTCACCATTAGTTCTTTCCTATTTTGTCTCTACAAAAACCTTCTTTCCTGTTTGCTTCCTGTTTCAAAAACTAGGAATGGTGGTAAACAGCAGTTGTTAAACATTTGAACGTACTTTGCTGTGTGATTTGCACATAGGAATGTTAGCAAAATTTTGCTGAGCAGCACTGAGCTGCTGATGCTAGTGTTTTAATAAGTGCTGGAACACCAGGGGCTAATCTTGGTGAATTTTGGGGAAAAAACACCTAAATGTTGACTCTGCGTGAAAATGGGTAAGTTCAGGATAATGGTAATCCCACTCAGTGATTGTGAAACTGTTACTGGCAAAGGATTGGAGAAATGCAGTGTGGTTATCACTGATCCATGTGGATTTTTGGAGAATACTCCCTTTCAGAAACTCTATCCAGAACTCTGTAGTGATATCAAGATTTTAGAAAATGACAGTGTGCAACTGGGGTCATACAGCTTTCCCTGCTCCCAACCTCCTCCTCCTGGCACCAGTTTCCTCTTTTTTGACTAATTGGAGCAGCCAGGAAATGATCCCATAGGTAAAACTGCTTCCCTTGGCATCTTTAAAAATGTATTTTGAACTGCTGCTGGAATATCAAGGTTGTGTCAGGAACTGGTTGGCAGTACTGGTACGAAGAGGAGCGGATGTACAAACCTTACCTATGTGGGGAGTCTGGAGTGATCCATGGAGATTGTCTTGGGAATGGTTGTGTGGCCTGTCTTGTAGATGTCTCCTGTGTAGCTGCTGGCAGTGACCTTGCTGCCCGCGGGCAAAATCAGTAGCGGGAGGTTCTCTCTCTGTTCTCTCTCTGTTGTCTCTCTGTTGTCTCTCTGTTGTCTCTCCTGTGAAAGCTGAGACCTTTCTTTGCCAACCAGCAGCTGTTAGGGCTCCTTTGAAGTTATTTGGTAAACTGAGTCATAGGAAAGATTCTGAGTTATTCTTGTAGGAGTGAAAGATGCCATGGGAATTTCTGCATGAGTGTAGCTAACCTAGACCTCACCGAGCCTGGTTGTTGATTCCTAAAATTGTTGGCAGGAGTGAACTCTGGTAATTGCTAGCCCTTTCTGAAGCCTTTTCCATTCTGTTTTCCTAGGTTGGATGATGCAGCTAAACAGAGATGATCCTGACTGTGCCTCTCTGTTTTCCCTATGCTTTTATGTGTTTCCTATGGGCACAGTCTCAGTCCCACTATCAGGCAGTGTCAGAAGAAGATTGTTGTAATTCAGATTTTTTTTCCCTAACCAAAACAAAATTTGGCAGAGTAATAAAGGCTTTTGTGCATTTAGGCTTGAAGAGTTGAAAGCTCTTCTCTGGTCCTCTGGGAAGCATATATCAGTGGTGCTAATTATAATCCCACAACAAGCTTGTTGCCATGTGGAGGCAATAGGAAATATCAACTTCTCACTAAAACTCAGGATACTATGGTCTGCTGATTATGTGTAGCCATGGCAGACACTGGGAATGAGATTGTATTTCTTATCCTGTTTTTTCTACTACAGCTATTTGTTGACTTTCAATCTCCTTATCAACTTTGGGGGAAAAATACCCCAAACTCAGAAGAGCATTTAGGCTTTTTCATTAGATTGACGGAGTGGACAATTATTCATTACAGTTAGTGTTTTAGGGCATCAAGGCAGAACTGGATGGGAAAATGCTCAAGTATATGTAGGGAAAAATAGTTGTGGCCCAAATACGGTCTTTTTTTATATAATCTTCCTGCAAGAATGGGCTCTGAGCCCTGAGTTGTTTATCGCTGGGCTCTCCAGAAGAGCCGACTGTCGACTGCCGTGTTGACCAGAGTGGTTGTGTGCAAGAAGATGCTTTGGTGGTTGTCTAATGAGTTTGTGTTCTGCCTGCCTGGGAGCGCTTTCTTGGGGTACAATAGAAAATGATAATCACCGGAGGAAGAGTAAATGCTACAAGGGATTGAGCAATAACTCTGCTTCTTTCAAAATCCTAGAAAAGATGAATGACTGCACGTGGTGAATCATCACTGACGTGGTTTTTCAGAGGAACAGCCAACGTTCCTTTGAGACTTGATGAATAAGCAGTTGTTGCAGTTTTTTGTCTGTGTGTGAAGTAGCCTCTTCCTACTTCCCAAAATGCAGAAATGCTCACAAAACAGGAAAGGCCACTTTAGTGGTGAATATGTGTTTCCAGGTGTCCCTTTAATTGATTTCTGTCATACAGTTTCCAAACATAATTACACCGGTTGAATTATAATCAGCTCTGTGGATTTATGTTACTATTTATGAGGATTTGGGCTTCTTGTTTTGCAGGAAGATACCATAATTATGATTTCAAATGGGTGAGAGAAGAGAATATGGAGTGAGCATGAAAGGCTGATTTTCTGAAAATAGACACTTTAATTCTAGTAAAACAGTTACGTGTTTTGGTTTGTGACATCTTGAATTTCTGTCACTTCCATCTAAGCTGCTAGGACAAGAAATGTGATAAATCACTTTGGTTTTCATGCTTACTAGTCTTGTTTCTTCTCAAGGCTAGGTGGTTCAAACTTACTACAGCTATTTGACAGCTTGGATAATAAAGGATATTTTAAGTGAATTTTAGAAAATGCATAGCATTTTTCACTCAGCAGCACTGGGCTTTGGAAGGAAACTTGAGAAAATAAAATCTGGATTAGGTAAGGTTGAACACATAAGGTAACACCAACTGGTAAGTGTTGCCTTTGCCTCTTGTCTGGAAGAGTCATAATTCTTGATTTACACTAATTACTTGGTAGATTTTAAATGAGAAATTATTTCTGTGGAGGGATTCTCTGATGTGCCGCACTTTCTTTGTTTGCTCCAGTGGTATATTTATGTTTTTCAGTGCAACAGTTTTTAATTTCATTTCATTTTAAAGAGGAGAATTATTTTGTGGGGTTTGGAAGGCAAGTTCCAAAACCAGAAGACACTTCACAGTGCCTGAAAGAAGATACTTAAAAGTGCATGAAGTGGATTCTTAACTGTGAACCTGAGTTTATAATACTTCATGAATCAAGCGCTCAGTTAATTGAATTATCTAGTTGGTAGGCAGGTACATGTCAGATAGAGTTATTGTTATGGAATGGACAAATTTGGCATTAAACACAAGGTGCAGGAAATACCTTTGTTTATTTGTTGTTATTTCCTTATTGTTTGTTCACAGTAATTTGGAACGCAGCATAAATTTTAATATCTGGAGATGTGCATAATGCTCTGATCAGTCCTTTTTGTGTAAGACTCCTGTTGATGTAAGCAATTCAGCGAAATAGCATTTGAAATGGAAAAATTATTCAGCACTTTACATAAAACATGTTTTAAAGTTTGTCCCGGGGTGAATGAAGTCATCTGAGCTGGCTGACAGGGGTGCATCATGTGCTGCTGCACTGCAGGCAGGGGCTGGTGGGTCCTCGTGCGTTGCTTGGCACAAGTGCAGGGAGCTTTTTGCATGTTCCAGCTTGGGAATGCTGTGAGCCCTGGTGTGAATTTGTTTGGCTCAGAATTTTTCATTCTCCCTTTGAATGTGTAGCTGCAGGTGCGTGATGTGATTGTGCTCATTCCCTGGGGAAGCCTGGGGGGGTTTAGTGGCACTTTGAGCCCCAGTGCAGGGTCCTGCCACCCCAGCCAAGCCTGTTTTTCAATGAATATTGTGTGGCTGTGGGATAATCTCTGTAATAAGACTTTAAAAAGAACAGCATTTATAGAGCTTTGTGTAAGCAAATGGCAAAGAAGTATCAGTTACTGCAGTCAGCCCAGAATAATTTTATTTTCTTACTACTTAAACAATATCTAAAATGGAGAATATAGGATTTCTAGGAAAAGGACTTGCCTTGTTTATGATATTTGAAATGTCAAAAGTGTTTTTAGAGCTGTTTTCAAACTGAACAAAGGGGTAAACAAAGTCATGGCTGCCTTGAAGTATGCCTGATTGGGTGTATAAAATACTTCATATCTATATTTGAGATAATTGAATAAATCTCCAATAATGATATTGCTATATTTATGACCAGGCATTGGTCTACAAAAGGTACAGTGGAGCTTGAAATGAAGAGACTGAAAAGAATTGTGATTTATGAATGTTATTGTGGTGGAAGAATTATTAATTCTTAAAATTCAGGAGTTCCTTACTGAGATTTAGATATATCTGCATAGTTAATATATAAATATTTAACATTAAGCCTGCATTATAAATGAAGAATTACCGTCATGAGAAACTGAGATGTTCTAGTTACCCAAGCACATTCCACAGCTTTTGTGGTAACCTTTCTAGTACAAAAATAATTGGAGGTTGGGCAGCTGTGGTTATTTACTGGCATGTTACTCTGTTATGCTGGTGGCAGTAGTTCCTGGGGGTACTAGCTGAGTATTGGAGGTGAGGTAAAGAGAGGTTTCTTCAGCTGTTGTTGGTAGAGATGTGTGCTGAGTATGCTTTTACTGTCTTTCTCTGTAACTAAATTAAACTGTTCAAGTGCAAGCTCCTGGACCTCTCCTTGTCTTCCACACTGGGAAGCAGAGCGAGACAATTGCTAGGGATGGGTCTGAGCAAACCAATCTTGGACTTTCCACTAGGTGCAGGATCTGAATTTTCTGTTTCTCAGTGTTAGTGGTCATAGTTGGAGAAGTACTTAATAACATTCTTCAGCTTATTCGTTCTCATTTCTAATATTTTTTTCCTTTTATTAGGAATACATAATCCGTGTTCAGAGAGGAGTTTCAGCAGAAAACAGTTGGCAGGTAATTTCTTAAGCTGTGGCTCGTGTAACCAGGATGCCTTTTTAGGGAGAGTTTGAAAATTGTCTCTTCCTAGCTTTTCAGATTTGAGCTGGAAAGAGAAATGTTCGTTTGGAATTGAGAACATGAAGTGCTTAAATACTTTTGGTCAAAAACTAACAGAAAACCAGTATTGCTGCCAGCTACAGAAGGCATGTTGTCCGCTACTATTCTGAATATTCCAGGAAAAATGCCTCTCATGTGTTACTACTATGTGTTGGTACAACCATCACTTTAAAATCTCAAATGCTAGTTTGCCTTCCTTAGGGCTAAAATCAGAGTCTTGCTGAGCAACAAAACCAAGAAGTAGTAATGAAGATGACTGTGAAAAGTTGTTGCATCTTATATGGCAAAAATGTCTTGTTTGCAGACAACTTTGCTCACAAATAATTTTAAAACTGTTTTAAGATAATGTTTAGAAATGCATTTTCTGTCTGATCAAGATGTGATTAAAAACTGCTTTGCTCTCTGGCAATGTGACATAAATCCAACAGTTATACCTTTGTACAAGAATTGTTAAAAGAAGAAGATGATTATAAATGGAAATTACTTTTCTCTGATGTGATTTTGAGGAGTAAAATGCTAATGGAAAAAGTAATTTGTTTCCTGAACTTTGTCTTTTATTTTGCAGATTGTGAGGCGATACAGTGACTTTGACTTACTTAATAACAGCTTGCAGGTAACTTTCACCCTTGATATATAAATATAAAGTGTCATTAGAAAGGTATATTTAAAATGGCTTGCGATATTTTTATATATTGCAGTGAAGAAGAAATAAAAATTCACATAGCTGTAAAGAGAAACTGTGACTTCAAATGTAGCTTGAATATGTACTTTTTCACTCCTACATTTTCCCTTATAAAATTGAATTTTAGCTTCAACAGGGTCAATTTATATAGAAATGGAGGAAATTGGCAGATACTGAATCTTTCCCTTCAGTACTGTGTCTTGTTCCGGTTTTATGTGTTTTTATTTGTTCCTTCTTTGATTTGGAGAAAGCCAAGGCACATACCAACCTTATAAATTCAGCATTGAAGTGCTATGTGTCCCATTATTTATATTCGTCTAAAAGCACTACCAGATGCTGCTTCTCATGTGATAGTTTTCTGTGTCACTGAGGAGTGTTCCTTGGTCAAACACTGGACTCACTGTGTGTTTTCTTCTGCTTTTTAGGACAATTATTTCTTTTTAGTTTGTGTGGGAAAAAGCAGGGTGTATGTAAGTGTGTTTGGAAAAGGGGGGAAGCAGGAGTGATGAGCATCTACAGGGTTGAAACTCATTACTTGGGACTTCCATGGTACTAGGCAAACAAGATAAAAAATGAATGATGCAGTTTGAGGGTAGATTTTTGTAAGGTTGAAATTTTTTCCCCTGTTAAATGTTGCATGAATTCAAGACTTTAATGCTGTTTTCAATTCCTCTTTACCTCCCCAGTTTAATCAACTATCTGCTTGATGATCCTTGGTGAGCAAAACGCTGTAAGGATGTTGAATTGTGAGCTCTGACAGTCTGCTGTAACCAATTCCTTTGCTGAAGGTGGATGGGGGGACAAATTAGTCAAAATTCAACAGATGCAACTTGGTTGCCTTGTTGAATTATTCTGTTGAATGTGCAGTAACACGTAGGAACTTTTATCATGACCTAGAAACCTTGTCTGTGATGTGCTGAATAAATGCAATACCGAGATGTCTCCTGCTCTAGAGACATCCAAGATTTAAAATTAGATAAACACCCAGGGGAACACGAGGAGATGAGATGGTACTAGTCATCAGAGTACCTAGGGGTCATTGTGGTCTTAACTGTAGTCAAGTTTTGATAAAGATCACAGAGAAAGAATTTTGAGAAAGTTTTAAAAAGAAGAAAGTTCACTTTTGCAGCCACCTATAACAAGCTCCTCTTAACCCTGGGGAATAGGATGTATTAAGGCATGAAAAAGCTTTATGCCTTCTCATTTACATTTCAAATGGGGCACCTTTAGTAGAGAAAGCAATGGACCTTTAAGTCTGAAAATTCAGAAATGACAGGTACTGCAAGGTTAGGCCTAGTTGGAAGGTTTAAAAAGTGAAGGTAAATAGATTATGTATGATAAAGAGAAAGCCTTTTTACCTGAGACAGAGGTGAATGATAAAAGGGGAGGGTTCAGGAAATTATCTGACAGCAACTTGCAGAGTGGGATGAGGGGGAATTTGAAACAAGAGGGAGACCAAGATCTAGAACAAAAATATCAGCTTCTTGGATGGCTGGAAGACATCAAACAGAATGATCAAAACATACGTCTAACTTGGATGGGAGGATATGAGAGCGTGGCTAAATTAGCAGGCCGTGATCTTTAGCACTTGACTCCTTCAATGAAAACTACTGCTCACGCCTTGATCTTCAAAATCCTGAGTCTGCTTCCCACAGTCTGGAAAGGCGAAGTTGCATCTCTGCTTGGAGAAGCTTTTTCTGGCTCAAACAGAGAACCACCCTAAAAAGTGTTATTCTTCATTATGTGCCCAGCAGAAGGGCAGGAATAGAGTTTTAAGTGTTTATGAAAGATGCACAACTCTGCTTTTGACAAACACTACTGCTTCTCCAGCCTAGTTCCAAATGCCAGGGCAGACAGTAACAAGTGAGAATCATGGTAAAATTGCTCTTTTCTCCCACTGTTTTGGATTTTTTATAAATTGCTCTTTGTGATGCTGGAGCTGAAGTTTTCACATCCATTAAGACAATGCAACACTCCTCAGTTCTTTCCATCCAGAACTCTAAGCAACAATATTCTGTCACAGTATTCAAGTCCCATGACTTGTTTTTAAACTCTTTAAACTCTCATCTTGTATATTGAAATAGGAGTAAACAAACAAAACTCCACACAAAGCAACCCTCCAAAAAACAGTATAAAACAAGGACCAATAGGAAGATACCAAACTCCAATCTTCTTCCTTCAAAACTAAAATGCAGCTGGAAAAACTTCTGGAGCTTCTTTTGGATGTAAAGCCCCAAGTTCTTCAAGTTCTCATGGCATACTTGACCTCTTTGTAGATTTTGGTGTTTGTGTTTGAACACAGCTGCAATTGAGTTGGAATGCAAATTTTCTGCTGTTAATCTGGTGCTACCTATATAATAATACTAAGGATCAAGAATTTCAAAACTGTCTAGGCTTGGGAATGCATACTTGTGACCCTGATTTGTATCAGAAAGTTTCAAGCCAGATTCCCTGAACTCTCAACTGTACTGGATTGAAAAGCTCCTTCCAGTCTGTCCTGCATTTCTTCTTCTTCCCTTATTTGACAGAGATGTGTGGAGATCATTGGCTGCTATTCTGTTTTGTTAAGTGAAGTACTGGAAGCACTGGAATTCACAGCAAGATATCTGGCTTTTGTGAAGCATTTTATTGCAGCTTTTGAACAGACATTCCTGAGCGGGCTGTGGTTGAAGATAAGAATGTTAATTCCCAGGTTCTTCCGTGATGAAGCCCATCCTGGCTCCAGTGGTGAGCTGGGGCCACAGAGAAATATTGCTGGTGTTTGAAAGCATGTGAGGTCTTGGCAAGGTCAGGACCTCAGTGAGGTGTCCTTCTAGGACAGACAGCGTTCTCGCTGTGCTGTGTGTTTTGTCAGATTGCTACAAAAACCTGGGCCTGAATGTTACTTTCTGCTGAAAAATAGCAGATGTCTGATTTATAAGTTTTAAAACAAATAATAGTGGTTTGAAAATATCTGAACTAGAGTCAGTGTCTCTCTGATGGTAGCTAGCTGTCAGGTCAAGAAGGTAAAGGTGATTATCATTTGACATGCTTTTTAAGTGAGTAGTACCAGAAAAGGATTTAGTTTTTGTTTAGAAACTTGGTTTTGAATTGGAGTGGTCTGACAAAGGAGAGTTTGATTTGCTTCTGGTGTTAAAACTGATTTGGTGAATTACTGACTGTGAGTGGTATATGGTTGCTTTTGGGTTTATTCCTGGATGTTTTTTTCCCTTGCGCGCAAAAGAGCATTAAAAATTCTCAGTGAATAAGATGATTTTTATAAACATCTTCTGTAAACCAGACATAGTTGTAGTTCTTTTTCAGTCCATAATTTGTAGTCAGAAAATGGTGAAGTAGAAGTGCTAAACTTAGTAGGGAACAACTCCTGTGTTCAAATGTATGAGGTAAAAAGGAAAGGGAATGATTCTTCTGTCCCAGTTTGTTGAACTAATCCTTTACCTTTTCCACTAGTTAAAATGAAAGTTGTTCAAACACCAAAAGTCCCTGTCTTTTCCCTGGTGAACTATTTGCTTTAGAAATGAGGTTACTGCATCCGGTGTAATTGATTCCTGCAACACACAGTTCTTAAAGATAACTCCTATGGAGATTCAGCTTACCCAAGGCAGGTGCTTTGATCTGCAAAGACAACAATGTGTTAACAACAGGAAAAATGTATTCTGGCAATTCACATGACGTAATTGAATATAAACACAGAGGATGATCTCTTTGATCTGACTTACATAAGACCTTGCATTTCTGTCCATTTTTTCATCGTTCTATTTTGAAGGATTTCTCTGATTTTTTTCTGAAGTTTTGGATCACTAGTGTCAGCATAAAACAACTACTCTATGTCCACTGGTAGATTGCAGCTATTTCTGGGTTGAAAGATGTATTGAATTTTAAAAAAATGTACAGTAGCAAATTCTGAAGAGAAAATGGAAAAGTTGCACCATGTTTGAAATTACAGATTTAAAGTACTGACAGAAAGGGCTTTAAATTACCTACAAAATCATAGATGCAAAGGAAAGTTATTAATCTGCACTTCATGAAATGAGAAAGCATAAATCTTATCCAGAGAAAATGGTAAGGTGTGAATAGTTTTTGTGCTGTGGCAGAGGTATGTCATAAAAAGGGTCTGGCTGAAAATTGTAGCCATTTAGTATCTGAAAGTTTTGTGTAGTGATCTTAAACATATGAGTCACTAGCAAAAATTTATCTCCTTGTATTTTCAGTGTTGTTCCATTTACTAATCTCTTCACAGTGGGATGCGAGCTGTCATCTGACTCTGATAACAGTACTTAGGAAAAATATAAAAGCTTGTATATACACAAGTTATCGAGTAGTTAGCTTGCTGCTGAGAGTCTTTTACTTTCTGAGTTGCCAGTTTATATCCCTGAGGCATTTTGAGAGCAAGGCTAGTAATTTTTCCTCTCTTTTTAAGATCTCAGCTCTAAGTCTACCTCTTCCTCCAAAAAAATTGATTGGAAATATGGAGCGTGAATTCATCGCTGAAAGACAGAAGGGACTCCAGGCCTATCTCGATGTAATTACTACCCATCACATACTGTCTAACTGTGAACTGGTAAAGAAATTCTTGGACCCAAACAGCTATTCTGTAAACTACACTGGTAAGTAGGAAATACAAAACTGCATTACAGTTTGACTTTAGGATGTGTGTGTCTTCCATGAATGCTGGCAAGGATCTGCACTAAAACATGTGGGGAACAACCTTCAAAATTGTGATATTGTGCATGTGATTATTTATGATAAGGCTTCTCCAGCTCTGTGCATGGATCATGCTGAGATTGTCAAATCTAAATATTTGAATTATTTCACAGAGGGTCAAGATTAACAAAACGTGGGGGAGGGAGAGTTGGTGATAAATGGGGAGGGTTGGTGTTGGGAAGTCATTTGTCTGTCAGAGTGTAAGGTGGAGTTAAGTTTGTCCTCTCCATGTTCTGCTAAAACAGCCAATCTTCTCAACACTGAATCTTTCAACAGGAACAATTGTGGTCATCTTGTCCAGCTCCTACTGTTGCTTTGGGGTGTGAGACTTCCAGAACTAATTGTTTGAGCTAGATTTAGTACTTTTACAAGGCTTGAATAAGTTAGACACCCTTTTCCCACAAATACTGGACAGTCACTGTATCCCTTTAAAATGGTAGCCCAGTGATCAGTTTCTTCACTACTAAATGTTTCTTCTTTGAATTTGTATTACTTCAGATATTGGAAACCATTAAATATTTGTCTTACAGACTGAAAAAACTTCCTCTTAGCGATCAAACCCACTCCACAGATTTAGTTCACGGGCAAACCAACTCTCTGCAAAATGCAAAGCTTGTTTTCATAAAAGCAGAGTCTCCTGAAGCAGGAACTCACTACTTCCTTTTCACTTGTCTTTTTTCTCTCTCTTTATGTAACATTCTGGTGTCTTCAGCTTCAAAGTGCAAAGAACATTTACCGGATGTTTATGATAAGCTGTGCAGGAGTTGTAAATTCTTAGTAACTCTTTATGGATGCAGTTTGTCTGGCTAATGCTGAGCAAGCAATTTAAATCCTCTAGGAGACACTGCGACTTCTGTGTTAGTTCTGAGAACTTTCATCAAGATTGTGTTTCCTGCCAGTTGCTGGGAACTTGGTAGCACAGACATCATTGCCTATGGTCTTTAGAGACCATAGTTTGTGATTTTTTAAATACTGGAGCAGTGAGATGATATTTATTGCACTTTTTTTCCTAGCATATTTGTATAGAGAGAAGATACAGTGTATATACAGTATAGAGGGAGAGATCAACACATCCTTACCTTTTTGCTGTTTTTCTATGCCAAGATGAGCCATGTTAGAGAAAATTCCTTGTTAGCATGATTCCCTTTCTCCCCCTGCTATCACCACTTCTCGTTGAGATTTCCCCTTGGGTCACTTCATGAATAAACCAGTTGTGTTCCCAGCTGTGGGAGAATTCACTTACAAGACGGGTGTCCTCCCTCCAGCCCCCCAAATGTATGTAGGCTCATGATAGTTGGCCAAATACTTTTGTCTGCACAGAAAAGGGCAGAATAACACATAGTGAAACAGAACTGTTTAGTTTCCATAATTTACATGTAGTAATGGCAATATAGATGCACATTAAAGAGATAAAAGTGAGTACTTTTACAGGTATAGCAGAAACATTTCATGATCTAATGTTGTGTACTCCTATTGTGGGAAATCTGAGCTGTGAGCATTGGATTTAGACTTGGAAATGTAGATGTAGTAGAGATAGAAAGCAGACTGTTAAGCTAAGTTTTCCAAGCAATGCTTTCTCTGTTTTCTCTCTGGATTTGAGTTATCAAGTTAAAAATGCAAATGCCCTCTAACTGTGTTTTTATCTGATTTCCTTTTGAAGTGATTTTGCTGACTTTTAGTCTGAATTCCTGCAGGCTTCCTTCTGGCATTGAACATTACCTAATATGTGGATAATTACATGATATAGTCTCTTTAAAACATTTTAATTTCTTTTCTACTTTCTTTCTCCCTTATTCTCATTTTTCTTTCCAGAAATTGCCTTACAGCATGTTTCAATGTTCTTCCGATCAGAGCCAAAGTGGGAAGTGGTAGAACCATTAAAAGATATAGGTAAGAAGAGCATGTGTGCATGAAAACTTGTCTGATTTTTTTCCCAACTATATGAGTTGTCCTAAGATTCCAATCTTAAGTCTTTGCTTACAGACCTTGTCCTGTTATGTTTAATTAAAGCTGCTGCTGACTTTTTTTTTTATAGGTTGGCGAATACGTAAGAAATATTTCTTAATGAAGATAAAGAATCAACCAAAGGAGCGGCTAGTGTTAAGCTGGGTATATATGCCTTCATCTCATACTCAAGTCTTTCTCAGTTTCACTCAAGATTTTATTTTGACTACCATGTGAGAGTGACAGAGAGACTGGGTGAAGAGCTCAGGCTTTGGGAGAGCCTTGAAAGCCCTTAGGTGGATGTGTGGTGTGGGAACTTCTTGTGTTTCCTTCCTCTGGTGGCAAATCCAGTTTGCAAGTTTCTGTGCCTGGCCATTTGTTCCTAATCCTGCACCTCAGGATTCTTTAGTTGTAATGATGTGGCTGTTGACCATATATAAATCTGCTCACTTAAAATAATAAGATGATCCTTTTTAAAGTGGTGGGATTTCTTTAGTTGTACTGACAAACTATTAGGCAAGAGAGGAATGAACTGGTCCTTTGACAACACTTGCTTTTGCTCCTGTGCTAAAATGTGCTGCCCTCTTAATTGTATGAGCAGAACTGTTTGTGAGACTTCACTGGAGAGCAGAGATCACTAAAACCTACAATAGGAGGGGAGTTTTTCTTGGTGCAGAGGAAGAAGGTGCCTTATCAGTTCACAATGCACACAGTCCCTCAGTTTGGAGTTGGCAGAGTTCATTCAGTGTAGTAATGAATGTCAGATCTGGGGGAGGAAAGAGGCAGTAATATTTATGGTCGCACATTTTGTTTGTGAAACCATGGCCTTGTTCAGCCTATTCAGGTTTCATTCCGTATGTGTAATTTCCTTGCTTGCTCTTCAAAATATACCTTCAAACATCTGTCTTCATTTGCCAGAGTAGAATATAGATCACATTTTCTTCATAGAATACAACATCTGTTATGATGCCATTCTTTTCCTATTTATTTCCAGGCTGATCTTGGCCCTGATAAGTACTTGTCTGACAAAGACTTACAGTATGCTGTGAAACTTCTTTCTTCCTGTTCTGTGAGTATTACTTGAAGACTTTTAAATTGTGCACAGAAGTGCATGTCAAGGATTCATCTTGCAAAAGCACATGTAGCCTAGTAGACAGTTTGTAATTTTAGAGTTGCTTTCATTTAAAGGTTTGCAAACCTTTTAATTACATTTCCCATATAATGTGAACAACATGTTCTCAGCACAAATAACAATCCTGCAGGATTATTACAGGAGATTCAGTGTTGTGGTTAATTTAATTTTTTTTCTTCTTGTGCAGTACTGTGAGGTCATGAGCTTTTATTTCAGCTCCTCAACACTTTCAGGCTGTTAGGATAGTGCTATCTAGGTGTAATTGCTAGCCCATGAACTGGGGGTATTCTCAGGCAGCAGTGGATGAGGCCGTGGAAGGACTGTTATGTTTTTTCAGTTCTTTGAACTTAAAAAAAGGAGTATCTAAGTAGAGGTACAATGGAAGCTGCACAATTTAAGCTCCTGTGCAATGCGACGCTATAAATCCAGTAGGCATCTCTGCCTGAAAAACTGGCATTTGACTCCAAAAGGATGTGAGGATGTTAAGCATGTGAGAGACTGGCTGAAAAGGATGGTATTTAAACTGGTAAATCTCTGTGCAGTCCTGGAGCTCAGCAGTTGCCCATAACAGGAGAGGCTGAAAACCAGGCTGCTCAACACTCCAGCCAGACTGAAACTGTTGTATTAAAATAAGACATGAACAAGGTGTCTTCTCCTGACTAGCAATTTCAGTTGGTGTTTGTGTTGTATCTGTAATTTATTTCCAACGGTGCTCTCTCATTTGGTTTTGCAAAGTTGTTATAATAATTTCTGAAGACATAAAACTGTTATGACAGCTCTTAATGCTGAATTTCCTTATGTGCCATAGTTGTATAAAACTGGGAATGAATTTATTAGCTTAGCATGACTTAAACATTCAGTAAAGCTGCTCATGAATAAGTGCAGTATTCTTCATTTGTCTAAACTGCCAGTCTGTTTTGTTAAAAAAAAGATAGTGGATTTTCTTTTTTTAATTTATGTGCTAATTGAATAATGTCTTAGTGAAGTTTTCTTTGCATGGGTTATTCAATGTCATTGACAGAATCCAATTTATTACTTTAAATATACAATTCAGGCAGCTCCTTTCTTACTTGTGAATTGAACACGAATTACAGAACCAGTCATCTAAAATTTGCCTACGGTTTTCTTCTTTTGGTAGCATCCTTATATTTACAAAATCACTTTTGCCACTGCCAATGAATCTTCAGCGCTGGTTATTAGACCATTCAGTGAAAAAGGGACACTAAAGGACCTTATTTATAAGGTAATGTCTACCCCCCTACATGGGTATGGAATGACTATAGTATGTCTTTTATAAAAGTGTTTGCCATCTATTGCTGAGTAAACTAAGACAAATACTGACTTTCCTCAGCATGATATTCAATATGTGTATTTTTTTAAAAGGCAAAGCCAAAAGACCCATTCCTGAAGAAGTATTGCAATCCTAAAAAAATTCAAGGTCTTGAGCTTCAGCAAATAAAAACATATGGAAGGCAAATATTAGAGGTACTTTTCTCTTTGCTTTATTTACCTGCCTTTATGAGGTTTTTTTTGAGGCCAACTGGTTTAGCTAGAAAAGTAGACAAACTTTTGAGCACAGAAGCTTTATTTCAGCAGCAGACTTCAAAGGTAAATGTGAATTGAGATTAGCTGCTGAGAATTGAATTTAGATATGTATGTGTGAGACCATTTATGACAAAAAAAAAAGCAGTTGGTGCATGTGAAGCTTAAGTGGGAGAGAAGTGATATTGTAGTTTTTTCCTTGTGTAAAAAGGAAAAGAAGTAATTAATAGACTGCAGAACATGTGCCATAAATTCATGGTCATTCATATGTTTTTAAAATTTTTTTAATTCAAACTATTATATTCAGTAGTATTGTGAATTTTGGTTTCCAGATCTCTTTTGGGAGGTTGCTGCTTTGAGGATCAGCATCAAATGTTTGTTTTGTGAGAAGTGTTACCAGTGAAATGGGAATGAATAGTCAGGCAAAGGCGATGTAGAAGATCAAGTTGAGCAAGCATTCCAAATGGGGGCCTCATTTATTATGTATCTGCTGCAGTATTGGAGCATTTAAGCTGATGATCTTATGATCTTGAGATCATCAGAGCATCTTGTGACAGTGCTTCTGTATTGGGTTTTTTTCAGGTATTGAAATTCTTGCACGAGAAAGGATTTCCTTACGGCCATCTTCACTCTGCCAATGTGATGTTGGATGGGGATACCTGCAAGTTGCTGGATCTAGAAAATTCCTTGTTGGGACTTCCATCATTTTATCGATCATACTTTTCACAGTTTCGGAAAATTAATGTAAGATTCAGACAATTACTTCAACCAAGTCTTATGCATCTCTTTATCCTCAACCTCTGTGGAGAACTGACTAGAATGAAAAAAACCTTTCTCAAGCCCCTGTTTTTAATTTGAGCTTTTCTCCATCAAATTCCTTTTCTGCTTCCTCCATATCACTGTTTGGCTGCACAGCAGTTTTGTTGCAGCACACTGGAGTGAGGCTGAGGCCAAAGGTAGGCAGGTAAAAGGGGAGTGCAGGTGAGTGTTTTTGTGATAACAATGCTGGCACAAATAGAGGTAAAGTGCAGTTGTTTTAAGATCTCTTTCCACCCTGGTCTTATATTTCATAGGAATGTGCTTATTGTGTGCCTCACTTTTTCACTTGTATGTCTGTCCAGTGATCACAGCTTATTACTTGTGCTTAGGTGGGAGTATTAATCAGCCTTGTCTTTGGTGAATACTGTGAAAATTGATGAGATGCTTGCAGATGTCTGGCTATTCAAAGCTGGTTTTTATTTGTTTGAAGGGTGTCTGTTAACTGCGGGCTTGCAAAGCAAAATATTATCTTCCTGCAAAAGTATGAAAACAAATTTGCCCTGTTGCAGCAATCCAGCAGCATCTTGCCCTGCCTTTAGGCTCTCATTGTAATAAATTCCATACAGCATCACGAGATAGCTGCTTGCTGACCTTGCTAAACAAGTTCTGCTGTGTTGTCAAAGAAACGATCAAAAGTTCATGGTTAGCCCAAATCTGTTAGTGCCATCAAAGCTCTGAGCATCTTCCAGTAAGAGGAGCCCTTTCTGTTTAAACGCGATTCAGAAATCTTGGAAATATGCTGCGTGGGAACTTAGAATGTATGTACAGCTTGCACAAACCTAAGGAGGAGCAAGGGAGGCTCTCCTAGGTTTGTTTGATATGCACTTTTTTCTGTCTTTTTATCTACCTCCCTGTAAAGTGGCAGCAGGTCCTATTATGAACCTCATTCTTTGCTGTTTGACTTAGCTTGCAAAAAGGGCTTGGTTGGGATTTCTGTCAATGTGTGGCTTTCTAAACTGCTGTAGGAAAAGAGCTTACAACTTCACACGTTTTTACAGAACTTGACTATACTGCTATCCCATTTTTATCATCACATACAGGAAGACAGTGGTGGCTGCTTTAGCTTAAGACATGAAGATTTCATTTGAGCAACAGTTATGCAGGGAAGTGGTTGTGGTTAAGAACTGTCTTAGTGGTTCCTCTTTTCTATCTTCACGTGCAAAATCACTGTTTTTCTGCAATGGGTTAACCAGTTGTGAAAAACTAACGAGTTGTGGCTGTATTTTTTTTGTTCCTCCACAGACTTTAGAAGGTGTTGATGTACATTGCTTTGGACACTTACTGTATGAAATGACATATGGAAGACCCCCAGACACGATTCCAGTAGAGAGCTTCCCCCCTGCACCCTCAGTGTTTGTTGGTTAGTATGCAATGGAGAACATCTCAGTCACAGCTTCTTAGGTGCACTCTTAACTTTTACCCAAGCTGAAGTGCTGTGAAATATCAGCCTGAGATCTTTGCAGCCTATGACCAGAAAGAATTAATGATTTGGTCAAAGTGAAAATGTGTTCTTCATGAAATATATGTAGTGTATAAGTAAAACCTTTTTTTTTTAGCTGAGTGATAAAACAGTGTTTAGTAAGTAATGAGATGCCTGGATTCCTTGCCTTATGTCTAACATTCTTGAAAAGTTTGTGTGTGTAATAGTAACACTATAATAAAAAACACATGCCACAGAACTTCATCACTGCTTGGTTGATGCAATACTTAGGGTAACATCACACAGACGTTCATTCTAAATCATTTGCTGTCCTGCCGTGCAAAAATGTGTTCATTCTTATTCTTTCTTTGGTAGTGTCAGTGTTGGAATCCATTCTGACCTGTGAAGCTATGAAGAATGGCATGCCAACTGTCTCACGGCTCTTACAGATGCCGTAAGTCCTGTTCTACTTGTTTTATACTCATAGCAATGTTTTTAATTATTTCAGGAGGAAGAGCCTTTTTGCTCTTGTTTCTTTTTAGAAAGGTTTGCTCCTTGTTCTGAGGGATGTGTCCCAAATGAAGCTTTAAAATTGGTAGGCTTTATAGAACCCATCCCTTGTGAACATGATGAATGTGCTTTTAACATTTCTTTGTCTCTTGGTGCGTTGGAGCTGTTATGAATGCACTTTAGTTAGCATGATTTAAATTAATCTGGCTATTAAAGTAATGCAAGCATGACTAAGATCATGTACAGATTGATTTAAAAGATTTAGAATAAGTCTTTCTGCATGTTTCCTTCAGATCTACTTCAGTAGATTTTGCTATCAGTTTACTTATGGCTGGTGAAATAGATCTCTTGCTTTGCTCAGCTGTGACATTTAGACTTGCTCTGAGTATGAAATGCTACGTGGAAGTTCTGTCTGGTTTCTTGCAGGGTTGGCTTTGGGATTCTCTGAAGCATAGACAGACTAAATTTCCTTAACAGGCTGTCCTCCTAGGATGCAGTGAAGGGGTGAGGGCGGGGGGGGCAGTGGGGAAAGGCCAGGATGCAGGAAGGGAGCACTGTCAGCATGTGAGTGAGTGGAGATCACACCTGTCTGCAGGGCTACACTGCCTGCAGTTGAGACACAGCATTTCCAGGGAAATTGTCCCTGTGCTGTGATACGTCACCAGCGTGCCGAGCCACGGAACCACAGTTCTGGTGGGAGGTTCTTTTATTTTTCCTTATGTGAGTTGCCAGAGTCAGGACCTAATAAATGACAGATTGTCCATACCTAAATCTGGGTCTGATCTCACAACACACAGATTGCAGTGTATTTAGAACATGATCTCAGGTTCAGATTTCCTGGTTGGGAGTCTGCATCCTTCAATTCCTTCTCCTCCTCCCTTCCTCTGCTTTTGAAGGAGGTGGAAGGTGGAGAGGAGACTGTAAACAGGGGAAAAATACTGTAAGAAAACTCTGTGAATACAGGAACATACAAGTCTTAAAAGAATTGAACAAACAATCCATGCCCAGCTGCATCTGATATTTAAGATATTATACTACATCTCCTTCATACCAATACTCCTCACAAAAGTGTTCTACGTACATGTGCAATGGCATGAATGTAATTTAAAGCAATTAATGTAATTTAAATATCTATTTATTATAACTATACAAATTATGACTTCTCTTAATTTCATAAGAACATATAATCAGAAAGGGTCAGAAAGCCCTGTAAACAAGGATGAATTGTCATGGCTTTTTGAAAGTATTTTCAAATCTGCTTTATTTCTGAATTTTTCATGGAATACTCTCCTCAATTAACTTGATTCTAGAGTTGAATTTGTTTTTCCTAGTATAAGTCTGTGATAATTTTCCATAGTGAACAGCAACAGAAGATCTCAGAAATATTTATCTTGGAACCAGGTTTGAGATCTCTCTGGGACAGTTTTCTAGTATGTTCTCCAGGACAAAGTATCTTGAAATAGACTAACCAGTTTATTTTCAGACTACCATTGCCCTCTAGTGTCTTTGTTTTGGATGGAAAAGGATTAAGCATTGCTCCTGACACCATAGAGGGGAGAACAAAAATATTAGATTATTTGCTTTAATTGCCTTTTGCAGAGTACAGGCAAGAATGCAGATATTTTCAAATATTAAGTTCACTCATTGACCTTTCACTAAAACAAGAGTTGTGCTAAGAGAATTTTCCTAACAAGAACAATGATTTTGCTTAGGTGAAATTTAAAATAAAACCCCTGGAAATCTTTTATGATTAAAGAATCCATATGCTTTTAAGGAAAAGTTGTTCTTCTCTGCCTTAGATAATTGTACCTGTTGTAGCAACTTTCAAAATATCTCAGATAAACTTGCTTTCTCTGCCATCAGTAGTGACTACATTGTGAGTGTTGGATGCTGCTAATATTACAGCGGTGCTTGGAAAATAAAAAGCAGTACATAAAAACCTGTGGAAAAAACTAAACTGTGGCCTAGGGATAAGGACAGAAAAGGAGAGGAAGAAAGAGGAGTTTAAGTGAACAGTACCAGTAGTATTTTTGCTGTGGTTTTCCCTCTCTCTTGGAAATAATATTCCTCTGTTTTTATCCACTCACAGATTATTCAGTGACGTCCTGCTAACAAACTCTGAGAAACCACAGTTTAAGGTAGAGTTGAACATTGATTTGCTGATGTTTATGGAAGTGCCAGGCTGTGAGTATCTACACATTAATTGACAGAGAGGGTAGAGGAGAACTGGCTTTCTTTGCCTTTATGGTTCTTTCCAGCAGTATTTGGATTCCTGTGCTGAATTGTATCCTCAGAAAGGGGCCATGGTGTGACCCATGAGTGTTCAAGTGCAGTTGCTGTCCTGGAGCCCATTTGTGTAGCTAATGATGATGCTCCATCTGAGCAGAGGCTGCCAAGTAATGTGGGTCCCTTGCAGTGAGAGGAAGCACCTTGTGAAGCTGATTTTGCTACGTGAGACCATCAGCACATTGCTGCCAACCCCAGTGCTGGGGCATTTTGGGAGCCACATCTGGTCCCACTGGGGAGCTGCCCCAGGGCACTTCTCCTGGAAGACATGTTCCATGTGTCTTGTCAGCCTCCTGGCAGTTTGGGGATGTGACTGGAGTATCAAAATTGTCACCTGTCCCGGCCTTTAGAGTTTCCTTTGTCCCTGCTTTTATTTCTGAGTGGAAAAACATGCATCTAGAGTCTTATTTTCTATTCACTAAAGGAATGGTGCCAGAAGTTGGGGCTTTAGATGAGCAGTGTGGTGAGATGAGTGGTGAGGTGTGAGCAGTCAAGTTTTGTTTTCCTTTATCACATTTTGTGCTATGTTTTTGTTCCCCATTCTGTATTAGATTCCTACCAAGCTAAAAGAGGCGTTGAAAATCTCCAAGGAATGCATAGAAAAGCGATTAACAGAAGAACAGAAATTGGTAATGTCTGCATTTCTTTATTACCTACAGAAATTTCATTTCCTCTTATCATTTTTACATGCAGAAAATGAGTTTTTACTCAAAATTGATTTTGAGTAATATAGGCTTTCATCAACAGATTTGCTTTCCCAAAAATGCAGTATGAGGACTTGTAGAACAGCTGTTAACTGTGTGGCATTTCACTGTTTTAAGTGATGCAGCTTCACAGGCAGTGGCTCCCAAGTTAAAGGATAATTTTGACTGCAGTATAAGCCTCCATCCTTTACCAGCAACAGTAAAGATAAAAGCTAAAAATGAAAAAAAAAAAATCTAAACAAACTGACTACAGCATATTTTCTTGTACCCCAAATGTGTTGTTTGAAAACATTTAAGATCTTAACATGGTTCTTTTTCTATTTTTTCCTTCATTTTGAAGATTCACCAGCACAGAAGGCTGACAAGAGCTCAATCTCATCATGGCTCTGAAGAAGAAAAAAAGAAAAGGAAGATCTTAGCACGAAAAGTAAGAAATCTTTAAATGGGTTTCTCACAGAGAAAAAGATGTGTATATTTTTTGAATGTTTAGCATGAATCGGTTTAGCCACAGGTACATGGCTCTGTTCTGTCCTGTGTTTTTCTGCACTACTTCCTCATTGTTTTCACTTCTGTAGCTGAGCAATGTATTTACTAAAACGTTGAAGTTACAATGGTATCTGACTTGTATATTGCTTCAACCTGTGAGAGGTTGCTGTATGCACCCTGTCTTGGTTAACAGCTCATACACAGACGAGCTGCTGTGCTGCTTCCCAGGGAGGGCATTGGAGCCTGTTTCAGTCTGCTCCTGCAGCACTGTCTGCGTTGCTCTTCCTTGCTGGTGGGTCGGTTTTCTGCCTTTCCCTTGTGGTCAGAAGGCACTGGAGTTGCCCTGGTGCCTGCCTGGAGATATTTGAGCACAGAACAGCCTTGCTGCTCTTGTCAGCATGTGTTGGGAATGGGGAGAGGAATGTTGGGCATTGATAAACCTTGTGTGATATAGCAGATGGCTGTTAGAAATCTGTTTGTCAGTTGAATCCTTATCACAGAAAGTGATTATTCATTCCCATCTTCTGTTTTCTCTGCTTCCTTTCAAAGAAGTCAAAACGTTCTGCCTATGAAAGTGGGGAAGAACACTCAGCAAAATACAGCAACTCAAATAACTCAGGTAACTACAGAGAGAAAAGTTTGCTTCTACACATCTGTGTCATTTCTTTTGTTGTTACTGTCATTTTCTGTCTGAAAAGATCCAGGATTACCATCAGTTTACATACTAATATTGGACTACCAAAGCCTGATAACCACTGCTTTGGGTATTTAGCGATAGATAAATTGAGAGCTTAAAAATATTGTCAATGTTAGATTTTCAGCTGTTTAATTTAAAGTAATGTTTCGTCTGTGTCCCATTCCTCAAAAAAGAACCCAAACCAAACCAATCAGTCTCTTTGTTCTGTTTTATATTTGAGTTGAATAACAATATTCATTATATGGGCCATTTAAGAATGGAGTCTTCAGGGAGACTCTTTATGGTGATCTGTATTACATAGTAAGGTGTTAAGATGAATGAGAAAATTATCTGTTTAATTGCTGCTTCAGGGCCAAATTCCAAAACAACAATGCCTTTGACAGGTCTTTATTTAGTTAGATGGTATGGTTGGTACTATGGAACAGATAAAAGAGCTGACTTGCTTGGCTAAAATGTGTCTGAAAGCAACTTGTTGTGGACTAGTTAGATATCAGAGTAACTTGTGGAGTACAGCAACTGATTGAACATCATCTCTTAGGGGAGATGGGTACCATCGATGCAGTGGCACAACTTTTAAGGGGAGCAGAATTTGGATGCTGAAATCAAACAGCCTAAGCAGCAGAAAAGAAGTGTTTCCCATAGAGGAATGCACTTCCCATATGTTTGGAGATCCTCTGATGCTCTGTACTATAAAGCTGCTCTGTTCAGATTGGGTCCAAGTGACACTGTTCCTATGAATGGGAGTCTTTCCCAAGATTTCAATGGAAGCAGGGTTGGATCTTCAATCAATAAAGTTGGCCTATTTCCAACAACCTTTCTTGTCTGACTGTTGAGCTGCCATGTCACAGCTGTAGTTACTAGACTGTTGTTTTATTTAGCAGGCTCTGGGGCAAGTTCCCCTTTAACATCTCCATCATCCCCCACTCCGCCCTCTACAGCAGGTAAGTTCAAGAGTCATTGTTTTATGTTTTTGGGTTTTTTTATTCCCCTCTGCTCCTCAGTGGTGGGTGTTATTTTCAAGGATGACTAAGGGATGGTGGTTTTCAAGGATGGAACACGGAGATGACAATTATCTTGTGTCAGCCTGAGTGTGGGCATGTGAGCCATTCTCTGTGGCTCTCTTTTGAGGGCCATAGAAAACCTTTTAATAGTCTTCTTTTTCATTTAATAACCTTTCCTGAGATATACATGATATGATTTATCCATAGAGTGTAAGTGCTTGCTTCAAAGTCTCTTTTACTGCAGGCCTACTGACATTGCTACTTTCCAGACATTTTTTGGGCCTTACGTTGCAGTATGCATTTGTTCTGGTGTTAATGGTCTGTTGACTCTGAAATACTGCTTGTTCATCCCTTGTGCATTGTCTCTTTACTCCTGTACTGCTGTGATGTATTTTCAGAAATTTTGGGTGTGACAAATTCAGTCGTTTAGGCTGTGTAAATCTGCCCAGTTATGCTACAGCCCATTGATAACCCAGTAGAGCTCATAGAAATGAGTCAGAGACTGATTTGGGTTAAAAATAATATCTTTATTATTTTTGACCTGTTCTGTTTTTCAGTCTGCAGGGTAGCTGTGCAGACAGTTTTGCTAATGTTTAGGACAGGTGATGCGAAGTGGTGAAGAATCTGCTTGAGTGAGCAATAGAAATACTCTGAAAGTTTGATTACAAATCTGAGTATTGAGCAACAGTGGATGTTCTTCAGGCTGAAAGGCTGGAAGAGGAGCACTGGCAAATATTCCTGGAGGGGAAACAGTCCATAGCATTGCCGTTTGTTACGGTGACTCATGCCATAGGATTTCTAGTCCCAGGAACTTTCTACACAGAACAACTCAGTAACTAACATGATGCAATCAAATTTGTGTTTGCTGTGAATGATTTTTCAAAGGACACTGCAGTCTGTGTGATGTAATTCAAATCAGTCATGCTGAAATTCAAATTAGTAATTTCTCCTTCAAGGTGAGGGTATGAGAAATGCGTATCTTAGGAACTAAATTCTCCCAATTAGCCTAAACAAAATAATTAGTGTTACTGTGTTGCACAGTAACAGTGCTGCTCTCAGGATGCACCCACTGTTAGCTGGAGGGTTTGTTGCAAGTTCTGTGTGCTTTAATAAAGAAGTAGCTGAAAATCCAAAAGAAAACCTTGTGCCTCCAAAATGGACAGATGAAAACAATTTTTTCTTTTTCCATAAAACTACCTTTTAGTTATGTTTTAACTTGGACTTGTTGGAACTTGGTTTAAAGCTTTTTCAAGTTTTAAGCATGCGATGCAGGTTTATGTGTTGATGTGACTCAAATGGCTAAAAAATGGCTCAAGTTTGGGCTCAAAACTTTTATCTGTTCCAACCATATTGTCACAGTGTCTTGTTCACCTTGCTGCCAGTGTGCTCCTGATGACTTGTGGTGATCAGCCCCATCTGACATGGTGCATGTGGCCCTACCTGCATTCATGGGAAAGGGCTTTAGTGAGCTGATGGCTTGGATGGTGTTCATGAAGTGTAAAGGCAAATGGCACATTTTCAGGAATGCTTTTGTGAGTAGAACTCATAGAAGAAATTTCAGATATTAGTTCTAAGAGAAAACTAGTGTGCTGAATTTTTTCACCAGCAGTGTTGTAGTTTTAGCTGTTCTAAGCAGGTATGCTATTACTGGCTCAATGAAAGACCCACTGGCCCCATGGTAGGATTTAGTGACAAGTGATGCCTTTGTAGCTTGTATCTCTCTCTTCCAGTTTCCTTGTACTTACTAAGGGTATTTACCTCTAAACCAAAATTGCTTGTGGGTATCAGTGTGGTGAGATGATTCTCAAAAGGGCATTGAGGCTTTCAGTCTGTCTGTCTGGTTTGGTTGTGGTCGTGTTAGAATCAGGGCATCTCAAAGCATCCTGGTGATGTGATGCCAAGGCAAAATTGAGGCTGATGAGGAAAAGTGCACCCAGCAGAAGGTCTTGCCATCATTTGGTAACCAACCAAATGTGGTGTGTGGGCATGTGCAGAGCCAGAGACACTGACCAAAGGGCTCCAGGCTGACATGTCCTAGGGAAGGAACCTGTTCGGGGGTTTCTCACACGTTGAGAGGTGCTTTGTCTCTGAACAAAGGCCTTGTGAGACTTGGCTTGCACCAGAGTGCTTGGTATAGTTGATGGAAGACAGACTAAGAAATAAAATGGTGGTTGGCTTTCACTGTCTTTGTAATGGCAGCTGCAGCTGTAGGATTGAGTGCATGGCCTGCTTTGAGGGGAAAGGTGTCCACTGGAAACATTGGCTCTTATGGGCTGCTGTCATTGATGAGAATGTTTTGGGCTGGTGTTGTTGCAGATACTTGGCTAAATAACCTCTTTGAAGGACATTGGTTAGATCATGGCAAGTGATTCTAATGCAACATCCTGTGTCTCTGACATTCTCCCTTGAAGGTCTGGTTCTTTTTTTCTCCCCATTTCTTTGCTTCTTTGAAAATCTGTTGGTTTTCTTTGTGGATATGAGCTGTGGCTAGGATTAAAAGAGATGCAGAACACTGTGATAGGGGTTATTTAAAACTTCACTGAATCTTCTCTAAATCCAATAAGCCCATGAAATACCAGCATGATGTTTTACAACAGAGAAAAGTTTGTGGGGTGTTACTTTTGCTTTCCTGGGCTTTTCTGCAGGAACAAAGTGAGAGTTGTACTTAACAATCTTTTTCTGTGCCAGTTATTCTAAATCCTTCAGCACAATATAGGTTTCATTGGCATCCATATGGTGCATCTTGCCTGCCCTTCACCTTTCTGTAAGACAATTTGAATGCTTTAGGAAGCGCTTTTCCTGAGTGTCTCTGACTTGTAAGTGTAAATACAGGTGTTAATACAGCGGGAAGTGTTCCTTGAACGGAATGGATTTCATCTCCTATGGCTAATCTTCCTGCAGATTTCCTGCTAAATCTCTCTAAATGCACTTTAATCCTGTAAAGGTTGAATTATGGCCTGTGCAGCTGGAAGCATTTGTGTTGTATTTGGTGATCAAGTATAATAATGCCTAGAGTGTGGAAAATGGTGGTTCATTATTCAGAATTGGACAAAGTATTGTAAATGTATATTGAAATAGTCAATCCACTGTCCTCATATTTGTCAGTGAATAAGAATGTATTGACTTTTGTACTAACTTTTCAGCTAACAGTATCTGTTTTTCTTACTTTGACACGAGAACCGGATGATTAACTTGTGTCCTCTCTCTTTCTCTGCTGTCTTCAATAGAGCATGCATCATTTTGAACGTGAATTTTCGGAAAAGTAAGCTAATGCTGATTTATCTCTTTAAAGATGCTCTGTTTCTAAATGGGAAAGTTGAATGCAAATCTTGAACTTAGTATTGGGAGGGAATAGAAAAAAAAATCTGAATGTTCCTACAGATTATTTTAATGAAATGCAGCATCTTTAAAACCTCACTAAAATGATTTTCTTTGTTCGCATCCCATTCTCAGCCAAGTTTTTAATGCTGTTTGCACTATTACTGTCACTTTAAATTCATAATTAAGTTTTTGTTTCAATTCAGGCATCAAGTTTACAGCATCTGATTTACTTCCTATTCCTTTTAACACACTCTTTTAACAAAAATGTCCCTGTAAAAACCCTTGGTAAGTTCTTGTTTGAGTGTTTTATTCTTACAACTGCATGAATGAGTAGAACGTGTGTGTGCAGGCAATGTCTTCTAACATGTATATTGGAAAGGCCTACTGACAACTGAGCACTTGTCTTAAGTGATTTTTTCTAGTAAATACAGGAAAATTTATCACTGTTGGGCAGAACAGTTTAATCTGTAGATGTAACTACATATGAGTACCTGTGTGTGAACTCAGATGTCCTTTTCACCACTCATGTCAAGAAGGGAAGGACAGCTTGGTTTGGACTGACTAACTAAAATGAATTGATATGAAGATTTTTGGAATCATGTTCTTAATTACCAGGTTCAATATGTAATGCTCATGGCTAGTCAGATACCATTCTGAACCCTGTATTTATGTTTTAAGGCAGAGCTCGGGTGTAAGAGTATCATTGTCTGTTATCAGTCTCACAAGAGTTTAATTGCATGGTGTTGTCAGCAGCTCTATTTCAATAACAGTGAGTCTTGAGGAATTTAACAATTTTCGAGGAAGGAAGGTGACCTCTCCCCCTATACTTCCTGTCTTTTCTACCCCCCTTGTAAAATAACCAGACCAAAATTTGAAGATAGACATGGAATCTTGGCCTAATAATACTTAGTCATCCAAGCATTTTGTGTCTTTTTTGCTCTCCCTCTCTGTCAAACATGTGCCTTCTTCCACTGTACGTGTTACCGTTGTATTTGTATTCCCTGCAGAGTTCTGGCCGCTGTTTTTGTGGCCAATTCCCTATTGCACCTTGTACAACTACTTGCATAGCCTCTTCAGCCTCACCTTGCAATTCCAGACAAAAATCTTGGCTTTGTTCTCTGCAGTTCTTGCATCTCTTTGAAGCCATTTTGTATATGAGTAGCTGCTCTTGGTGCTCTTACAGCAGCTCACCTGATCTGTTTGGGGACAGGTTGGTGTGCCAGTCCTACAGCCTCTGCTCTGAGCACTTCAACTATAAAATGGTTACTTGAACTGTTCTTGGTCATGTTCTTCCTTTGGCAAAGTGCCAAGTTTCCCTTTCCTGGCAGCCCATCTATGTAAGAAACAGGACTCTGACCCAGGGAATGGTTTTCCAGTATTCCTAATAGTAAATTGACTCACATCTTTGATAAGTGTAAAAAGCAGTTTTGGGTAAGTTAGAAGCCATTGTGTTACGTTTTGATTACTTCAGAGAACAGTTGATCCACATGCACCAGGAACATTAAATTGTTTCAGTTGATCTCTGGTATTTCTGTTAGGATTTGAGTATTTCCTCTGAAAGGGAAGAGAGTGAAGATGAGCTCAGTATGTACTTCCATGTTTTGTTTTCACAGAAGGTTTTCATGCCAATGAGAATTTCTCCTGAAGAGCTGGAAGTGCTACAATCACAGCACATATTAACGTACACTGGCAAAATTGGACACTTTGTGTGAATATTCTGCATTTTGAGCTTGCTCCCATATGGGAAAAGCCTCTCTTCAAAGACTAGTACAAATAGAAAATAAGGGAGCTTTATGTCTTTCATCTAGTAGAATAACTGCCTAATAACAGCAGTGATGTTTTTACTGCTACTTGTTAGTCTGAAAACAAGTGTTAGTGAGGAATTGAGAGAGAAATGGAGCACAGAGAACTTTTGTCTGCTTTTTTTCTGCAGTTGAGCTTTATCTTTCCTCAAATACCTTGAGTCTGTGTGGCATAATGTCCTTCAACTGCTTGGTATTTTCTCACTTCATAGCAAGCAGTTCTACTTCAGTAACCACAGTGTCTTGGTTGCCCTTGTGTTGTTTTGTTTTGTCCAGTATCCTTATTCTTGCCACTTACCAGTATATTTCTGTTTGTAGGTTAGAGCTACTGGAAGCAAGTGTTAGACTATAGGTGCCATTTGTCTCTCTAGTCTTCACGTGGAACAGCTCATGATCTAGATGATGGAGTTAAAATTCACTGCTGAATAGTTCTAAGATACTAATCATTATGCCCCTACTCCTTCTAGAATATATGAGACAAGATAGGCCTATTATCATTACTATACTTGTGTAGAAATGACAGTGCAATGTGCAGCAGCAGAGCTGCACAAGATCAGGGTGTTTGGCAGAGCAGCTTGGGGCAAATTAGGCCACCTGCCCGAAACTGAACTGCCAGGAAGCACCTCCATGCTGGCCCTCACTGCTGGGCTAGCTCCCCACATGCACTGCTGTGGGCTCTGGCTTCCCAGGGAGTCAGGACGTGGAGGCTGAGGAATGATGAGAAGCACACAGTGGATGTTTGACTGGGGTAGAGAGCAAGGGTCAAAGTGTAAAGGTGGCTGGTGGGAACAGGAGAGGCAGGCAAGGTGTGTGTGTCACAGTGTTGTGGTTCATTCAGTCTGTCCAACAAGCATTCGTTACAACATGTTTGAAGAAAGTGGACTGCGGAAGTGTAAAACACTTCCAGAAAACTCTATCTGCAGTTAGTACTTTAAAAATGGAATATAATCTGACCAAGCAAAATGGTCATCACAAATATTAGTGATGCGGTCCTTCAAAGAACATAAAGTGTGTTAAGTAAGTAAGAACAGGTAGTAAAATTTGCTTCCAGTCTTTGTTACTGTTCATGTCCCAAACTGCTTTACTAGGCACAAACAAGAGCTGGGAAGTCCCATTAAGTGATCTCCATTTCCCTCAGAAGATCACATTTGAGTCATGATTTGCATCCCTGAGTACTGAGGCCCTTCAGGCTTCATTTCAGAGGTGTTTCAGATGACACGACTCACCTGCAGATAGAGGGATTTGATCACTTGGGCATTTCCCATCTGTTCTGTTCTTCACACTCCACTGGCATTCAAGGGATGATGTGAGTAGGGCAGGACTGACCATGTCCAGCCAAGCAGCCACAGTCCTCTGTGGCAGGACACCCTTGGCATAATCAAACTATATCTTCTCTCCCTGGCTCAACAGGAGCATCATCCATACCCCCAGCACCGCCTCCGCCACCCCCGCCACCAGCAGCTCCTCCCCTGAGTACAGAGGTGCCAACGCCGCAGCCCGACGTCAGTGCGAGCCGGGGAGCCTTGCTCAGCTCCATCCAAAACTTTCAGAAAGGAACTCTGAAGAAAACACAGACGTGCGACTACAGTGCTCCCAGGATCAGCTGAGGCCACTGGTCATTCCAGGATTGAATTCCCTCTCCCCCTCCTGTGCTGACCCTCCTGACCAGCAACTGACCCACCAGCACTGATGACGCTGGAGCTCCGTTCTGCCTGATTTCAGCTTTCCTCGAGCAGCAGCACTGCCCTGCCCGAATTGCCTCCCCATGCTGTGATAAGTACTCCATTCTTTACTGGGTTTCAAGAATTATGTTCTCTGGCTACAATTGCAGGGGTACAGCAGCTTCTATATAGCTGAATAAAAATCTGAAAATAGGAATGACCATGATGATGGTGAATTAATGCATTTTTTCCTAGCTCTATTCCACCCCTTTTTTCAAATTACAGGGATGTAGTTTTAGTCTGCTCAGTTTTTCAACTCTTTCCATGCACTTGTAACTCATTGTAATTCTTGCTGCATTGAATCAACAAGTCTTGTTTTAGATAATCCAACCCTTAAAGCATACTGCACAGGTGAGGGAACTGGAGAATTAAATCTTATTCCCACCATATTTGCTGGTGGAGTTAAAATGCTGTCTCATTAAGCTTGTTTAAATGGACATCCTACCTGCCACTCCAAGGGAAAGTGTTTTTAAATGAGGAAACAGTTGAAATGGGAGTTAATAGGGCACGGGGATGTTATTCTTGATTTAGTTAAATGCAAAGTTACTTCAAGTTAATTCTACAGTTTAAACTTTATTGAAAGATCCTTTTTGATTTAAAACCTTAAACAAATTGCACTTTAAAGGATTATAGATAATCCATTTTTTAAAATTCAAGTACATCAGTGTTTGTTACTATGCAGAGAATGTCTGTACAAAGTTTCATGTAACCTGTGATATTCAGTCATTTTTATTAAAATGTTAATGGAATTCCTTCAGCAGTCTGGTGGGTATGTTCAGCTGGGATTGGCACCTGCAAGCCACACTTCTAAGAACCTAACAGCACCTCTGCTAAAAGGAATACCCTGAAAGGTATTCCTGGCCCTTCCCTGAAACAGGACCTGAGCTCTTCTGGCTGCTTACAGAGGTATGTCCTCTCCACCTGTTCACTGGGAAGCCACTGCTCCCGGGGTGCAGAGCAGGCCCTGCTGCACAGGCCCCTCAGGGCAGCTTTCCCTCTGTACCAAAAGCTGCTGAGGGAAGCCTGGCAGAGCATCCCTGCCCGGCAGAACTAACCCTCAGCCAAACCCTGGGATGTGGTGTTCTGCCAAAAGGCTGCCTCGACTGCTCCCCAGCTCTTCACACACAATCTGCACAACTGCTGCTTCAGACTCGGGCTCAGTGCAGCTGAATAAAGGAACTCATTTTGCTCTGCAAGACCTACAGTGGGAACATGCTGTTGTCAGCCCAGGCAAGGAGTTACAGACACCCACATGGAGCTGAGCCATAAAAGCCAAGTATCTGGACATGCATTTTTTTAATCACTCTATGTGACAGGTAGTAAAGAAAAGTTAGGTAGTGTTTCCCATCACTTACTGAAGAGGGTCAGGATCTTTATTTAAGCTCTTGTGCAGAAGCCTTTCTGCATGTGTGGAGCCCTCTTCAAACCAAACAGGGTCACCACCTCTTAACCCACACTGTGGGCTGCTGCAGCCTCTGTGCAGAGCTGCACTGGCAGGCAGGGCTTCACCCATCCAGTCTAGTCATTCCCTTCTAATAGGCCTTGTGACCATGGGCTCCTACAGCTGTACAGCACTGGGGGCCTGCTCTTGCTCTCTGCAATTGTGCACTAAACCACCGCTCCAGCGGATTTGACACAGTTCCTCTGGTACTTAAAGCCAAGCAAAAACGGAGGATTTTTTCCTCACTCTGAATTTAGAACGGGATTTCTCCACAAACAGTAGCACTAGCCCAACTGTACTGCTGAACACAAGCATTACCACATTGTTGCATATATGAAGTGTGGCTTAGGGAGCGTAACCCCATATATAAATATTCTGGGAGGTCACTATACTTTCCCCACTGTACAAAAGTTCACATAGCTTATAGAACATAAATTATGGATACAACTTGCCCAACACCAATAATGCTTTGTAAAGCAGGTACTTTAAAACATGTATTTACAACTTATATATTCAAAGCTTTCTTCACTGCAAATACTATATCCTTCACTTGAGGTATGCAGTTATCCTCTAAGATCTTTGCGTAAGGCATAGGGACATCGGCACCGGTAACACGCACAGCTGGAGCATCCAAGTAGTTAAAGGCAGGTCCTGAAACAGAAGACAGTGTCAGGTTGCCATGTACTGTGGTTTTCTCTTGATTTCCATATCTTGTTCTACTTAAACAGTTTTGTTCCTATAGTTCTAATATTCCAGAGAGTGCTGTTCCTGCTTGTTTATCTTCATGCACTGTGGTTTTTGTACCCTCCCTGTAAAAATCTCTAGAGCAAGACAGCCAAGCTCCAGCTCCTCAGATATAACCCCTAACTCTGCCTTTGCCAGGCTTTATCAAGAAGTCTTCAGGATTTAGAGGAGGGAATGAGATTGAGACATGTACTGCAAAACTTGGTACCTTCCATGATCCTGGCACAGACTTCCGCTCCTACTCCAAACTGGGGCCAACCTCCTTCTACAGTGACAAGATGGTTTGTCTTTACCACGCTGGCTTCCACTGTTTCGATATCCATTGGTCGAATGGTTCTCAGGTTTATAACCTGGGGGGAAAAGGGATAATGAGAGCTTTGCTGTGACCTGAGCCTGTCAGTCACCACCGTTTGGGTACAGGGCCCCTCAGCACTTTCATCTGTTCTGACTTTAAAGACAGGTCTTAATAAAATTTCTAACTCAGAAACATGAAAGGCACGTGCTGTTAAAGGGACTTACAAATCTAAGCAGCTTGTAGTTAATACACTGAAGTGAGCAGAGCCTGCATGAGAAGACACTCTGCTTTTTTTCCCCCATTCAGGGAAAAAGAAAGGCAACAGAAACCCCACTCACCTCACACTCTACACCTTCTTTAGCAAGTACAGTAGCTGCTTCCAGACAATGGCCAACAGGTCTTGAGTGTGCCACTAATGTAACATGAGTTCCTAGAAGAGAAACAAGTGTTAAATAGAAAAAAAACCCTTAAGATTTAAAGCTTTTTTTTCTATACCTCAGGCTCCTTTCAAGCTAACATTTAGATTCACTTGTAAATTTAAGTTCCTTATGTTTGTTTGAAAAGCTGAGCCCAGACATAGCAGGAAAAGAGGAAGACCTATGCTAAGACACAAACTTCACCCTTGAATTCAGGGAACTGAAGAGGTATTTAATATAATTACCAAGTTATCCTTTTCAAACTTTCACATAATTCAGTGGTAAATTATGAACAAATGGGGTGAAACACTGCAATGACCTCTTTTTGCATTTTTTGACAAAAATTATATACTTAGGTGAGGAAAGAAGTGTTTCAGCCATCGCCTACTTCATCTCTACACTATGGAACAAATCCTTTAGAAGGGTATTGTTTTAGTTGAGATCTGGAAAATCAGGTGATGTTTCCCTAAAAGGGTAACAGGACATGAAATCATACTACTGGATAAAAGAATAATTGAACACTTAGCATTTGAAATACTTTTCTGTGCCCTGTGACAGCAGTACCCTGAATAGCTGAGGTTAAAAAAAAAGTCCCCAACCAGGTCAGTTAATAAGGAAAAAAAACACATTCTCAGCTTACCTTGCCTTTCTACCTTAGCTTTTCCAATTGGAATAACAAATTCCTTTGACTGTGCTTGTTCAGACATTTCAAAGGGAACACCATACAGTAATTCATTTTCCAGCATCACGACTAGAAGAAAACATACTTGGATTAATGTGTATGTCTGCAGGCACAGGGCTGCACTCACCATTAGCAGTCCTGCAGCAGCTCAATACACTAAACCCATCCAGGCAACAAGGGAGTGAGGAGAATGTTTGCAGAAGCAATTAAATAAAAAAAGAAGTAAATCAGAGTCTTTACTTCAATGCTGAAGCATTTAAAAAGCTGTGTACAATTAGTCTGAAGTGAGATCAGGTATTTTACTTCCAGTACACGATGGTACAATCATCACTTTTTGAAAGGTCTCCCATTTTTCATTCAAGTTTGTGAAAAATAAAGACAAAGGTTGCCCTGCTTTCAATTAGTGACATTCTGAATTTATCATCTGAATTTCATGATCTGTAAAAATGAGTTATATTGAAGCACTGTATATGCAGGAAGGCCTCCTGACTTGTCTTCATCCATTTTAATCCCTTTATGATAGGTTTATAAATGCTTCCAGGTTTCCTGGCTGGAACAAAACTCTCACTAGGCCGTGTACCTGGCAACAGCACAATTCAGTCTGCTGTTAGCAAGGCAGGTGACTGTTAGGGAAAGAGTAAACCATTCTGTCTCTGTAAGTACCCTTCTGCTGCAGTAAAGAAAACCTGAGTGCTTTACGGTTTAACAATTTTTTTGTGGTATCTTTTAAATGGGGCAGGAGGGGAAAACAGCCATTCCTTAGGATTGAGTGCCAGGTATTGCCATGTTCTGCCCGTGCTCACCTGGATTGTCATCCCGGATGGATGCTTTCAGCAAACCCTTGGCATCCTCTGCACTCCAGGGACTGACGACCTTGAGCCCAGGGCAGTGCCCGTACCAGGCTGCGAAGCACTGGGAGTGCTGGGCGGCCACTCCGGCCGACGCTCCGTTGGGGCCCCGGAACACGATGGGAACACCGATGGATCCCGCAGACATGTAACAGGTCTTGGCAGCAGAGTTTATGACCTGGTCAATGGCTTGCATGGAGAAGTTGAACGTCATGAATTCACACACTGGTCTCAACCCTGCCTGTTAAATATGTTAAAATGTATTAGCGTGTTTTTATCTAAAAATAGTTTAATTTTTAAAACCAGAAGAGGAAGAATGCAAATGTACAAACCATAGCAGCTCCAACAGCGATTCCTGCGAAGCCCATCTGAAAAAGAAGGAAACCAAGGGGTAAGGAGCAGGGAGCAGCTGATGGAGGGATCACTGGGGTTGGAGACAGGGCAGCCTCACCTCGGATATCGGGGTGTCGATCACTCTCTTGTCCCCGTACTTCTTCCAGAGGCCCCTGGAGATCTGGAGGGCAGGAGACAGGAGTCACGGCCCGCCTGAGGCCCTTTCCCGGCCCGCCAACGGCCTCCACAAACCTTGTAGGCGCCATCGTACTGAGCCACCTCCTCGCCCAGCAGGAAGACGCGCTCGTCCCGTTCCAGCTCCTCATCCAGCGCCTGGTTCAGCGCGTCCCGCACTGTCACCTGCGAGACAGCGGCAGCCGGGCTGGGCGGGGGCACGGCCGCGCTCCCCGAACGCCGGGAGTCCCCTCAGCCCGGGGGCGAAGTCACCGCGCCGCCCGCCCGCCCCGGGGCCGGACCCAGCCCTGAGGGGCGCGAGCCCCTCTCCGGGGACAGCCCTCCCCGCTACCTGTATGGCGGCGGGCGCGGAAACGCGGAAGCCCCTGCGCTGCTGCAGCTGCTGTAGGTGCGGGGGCAGCGGTCCCACGGCGCGGCCCCGCGGGGCGAGGCGGGCGCCCGTGGCCAGGTGCCGCAGAGCCGCTGCAGCCGCCGCCATCTTGCCCGTGTCCTCTCGCCCTGCGGCCGCCGGGCCCCGCCTCCTGCGCACGCTCTCGCGAGAACTCCCCGGTGCGCGCGAAAAGGCCGAGCGGGGCGCGCGGCGTTTGGCGCCACTTCCGGCCCCGGGGGCCGCCCGGGGGGCGGGGACAACTCGCGGGGTCGCGCATGGCTCGCGCGCCCGAGCGCCCCCGCGCGCGGCCCCGGTCGGGCCCTCAGGGCCCCGCGGGG